ACACACACACACACACACACACACACACACACACACACACACACACACACACACACACACACACACACAGGCCATTCACTCATTCATACCCACCCACTTACAAAGTCACAGATGCACACATATCGATCCCCTCTCGATAGTGCAGGCGAGCATGTCACATATGTGACACGAGCACCTAACTGCTGGACAAAACCCTCAATGTCTGAGGTGCAGATAAAATTGAGGGGTAGAAAATATCATTTTCAAATATTCTGTGCTGCTGGTATGCTCAAATACTGTGTGAAGCTAGATACCACTAACAACTAGAGCTTATTTAATTTTTATTTATTTTTTTTTATTTTAATCAGGTCAAAATTTCAAGAAAAATTTCAAGAAATTTTTTGAATAATGTATCAAGTGAAAGAGAGCTTTTTTCAATACGACATCCTGTGATGTCACAGCGATGCCATAACAGGCAGCATGTTGTAATAAAAACATCATAAGACATAGAAGTTTTAGTAAAGCCTTTGCCCTTTGGGGGGAGTTGCACTCTCTGAGTGCTCTTCCTGTCAACAGTATTCTCAAATATGCAAGAGCAGATAAGAAGCAATTGACTCAACACTGTAAAAATTAGTAATTAGCTATGATAAAAGTCAGAAAAATGTAAAAGTGAGAAAATGACCCAAGGACAGTCATGATTCATTCACATACTGATGACTGATGAACACTGCTCAGCCCTGCTTGTACCCGCAGGCACCTGTTTACAGCTTACCTGAGGATGGCTGGTTTGGTACGAGTCTGGGAAGCCCTATTACTCTCCTGTGCCTGAAGTGGGTCTTTGGAAACATCTTTACAGATGTTTCTAGCAGTGAAGGTCAGCCACAGCATGGTAGACAGAGAAGCATAGTGGAGCACAATGCCAACCTAACACAGGTTGAAATAGACATCATAAAAATTGAGTGAACTGGAGTAAGTTTAAGAGTGTAGTTGGGAATCATCATAGAACAAAAATGCACCCTATTAGGTGTTCAATGTGCTGCACACTGAACAGTTCCAATGTCTAAGGACTGAATAAATTAAAAGCTCCAAAACCAGAATCACATTGTGCGTGCACTGAGCTTCAGTCATATTGTGATTATAATTAATTCATGATTCACTTTGGTGATAAAACAGCAAAACGGTGCAGAAGCAGAACCTTTGAAGGTTTGAAACATATGATCTAAAAATAACTTTGTTTATGTGTGTGTGCCGTTAAATGGGAGGCATTGTTATATCAGCTACAATCTTTTAAATTATGCTACTTATTCAAAAAAAGTTACATTCATATTGAATGTAAAAAATATTCAGTACCAGAGGTGGAACTATAAAGCCGCCCTTTTATTGTATCTTTCAACCATAAAAGTTTTGGAGAGATGATCGTAACACTTGGCAAGCTACAGCCAATGTGTCTATTTTTCCATAAAACCATCCCTGAGGTTTATAGAACAGGTGTGCCTTCCTATCAGCTCCAAGTACAGTAACGCAAAAACCAGTACAATTATTTTCATTACATCCACGTTATACAGAAGAGCATCTCTGAACACAGGAGATTTACATTACGGTTGTGTAGCCAAGAAGTCTGCAGCAACTGTGTATTGCTGACATGTCTATGGAGACCAATATTTCTGAGGAATAATTACAGTACTTTGTGAAATCATGAAGAATTAAGGAAGTTCCCAGGGTAAAATGGGGATCCAAGCCAGTGCTAGCAATGTGTACCTAACAAAGTGAAGTGTTTACATTTAACCTGACTTTAACCGACTAGAGGGCTTTTCATGTTATACTCAGTCACACAATTTGGAAGCCAGTCTAATATAAAATAACCAATATCTTCAGATTCAAAAAATAATAAAAGCTAACATTCTTTTAAGAGTTAAGTGCCCTTAACAGAACTTTGAAACATCACCACAGTAAGAAACCAAGAACACAACACTTACAATCTGACACACAAAAGGTAAGTTGATTTGATTGATTCCACCAGCAAAAATACCAAATGTCAGTCCTGTGTGAAAGAGGAAGTTGAGGAGTGTGTGCCAGCCATTCCTGCTGATTCTGATCACACTGTAAACAAGGAGAAAAGTTAAACATCAGAAAGATAGTGTCTTAGCTTAAATTAGGTAGAAGGTTGTGGGAATGAACACAGGAGTCACACTGTCACCTTTGGACTATAATTTAGAAGTATTAAAGTATTAAATCCACATATAAAAGAATATGTTGACTAAGGCTTCAGTCTCACAGGTCTGAAGACCGGTCAGTGAGCACCACATAACATCTGGTCAATAGGGAAAAATGTATTTTCTTCTTTGCTGACTGTCATTAGGAGAAATCAATCACAAAACATTGTACTAAACAGCACCTTTTCATTGCTTTGGCTGCTTGCAGACTGCATCAAAGACCATTTTATATCTCAAGTTCTCAGTTTTATTAGTAAATCTGGTCCTTCAACATTCTGTACCAGCACAAAACCCTCTTTAGGTATTAAGAGACTGTACTGTTGGGATTTATTGTGTTAAAGATGAACTGAATGGTGTCAGTTAGAGTTTTTTTTTTTATGTATTTATTTTTTGACCTGGGACAAAATTTGGGGAAGAAAAAATAACATGTGCATAATATTATAAGTAAACACATGCAATAGTAAGAAACAACATAAAAAGTTTTTTGATTTTTTGATATTGGTAACTGACCTGGGACATGACATTTTAAGTAATTTAGCGCTTTAGTGCTAAAAAAAAAGAAAAAAGAAAAATCTGTAATTATTGTAATGAATAAATTTTTTTGACACATATAATTGCTTTCTATGGGAGAAAAATATTAATTGTGTAACACAAGTTTTTAGAATTAGGTAATGGCACATGTTTATATAAAATAAAGTCATTTCTGTCATGAGGACAGAACCAAATGCACCAAATACTAGTTTTATAAACCAAACGTGTTTGTAATAAATTTCTCCTTTGTAACAGGATGGGCTGTGCAGTTCATTCATAAAATAACTCAATATCTCTAAAAGTCCCTATCAATTTCTAATGGAAAAATCCAGCCTTGTATCAGAGCAGATGGATTGTCCTTCAGCTTCAGCTCCTTGATCTTAATTGATATGCTGTTTTTGCAGAGCAACACAAAAGTTTTGGGAGGTTTAAATTGAAGTGGACAGTTCTACTTTGTACTTGAAACCTGTCTGCTTCTGCACATTCATTCTGGATGAAGGTGGGTGTTTTTAACAGACACGAGATGAGGATAAAGAAACATTATGAGATATACAGACACCTTTATGATATAAAGTCACAACATACATATAGGCATGTGAATATTTTGTGCAATGAAAAGTGTGAAATTATCTTGTAATAAGGTCTCACCTGTGGTGGACAATGTAAGTCATGATGGAGGCAAGCAGACAGAGCAGCATAACTGCGGTGCAGGCATACACCACTGGATGTAGGTAATCCCCGGGGTATGGGGGGAAGGATAGCACTCTCTTTAGATCCTGAAAAAGAAGTGCACAATCTATGTTTTGTCAAAGATGGCAAAAAAAGTTAAATTGCTTCTGTTTTGCACATACTAAGTGAGAGTGACGTTACATAAAAAGTATCCTTTGAATAGGAAGGTGCTGAATGTTTTATTCAGTATCACCCTATCAGCATATTAAAGGACCTTGAAGAAAAAGGATCTTCTACAACAGTTGAACTGGACATGTGTGTGCTTAATAAACTGGCAAATTACAGCAGGATTTTCCTATCCTCGGTCAGAAGGCACAGGTGACTTATATGATGAAAGAGAGGGTCCACAGCAATGAGAATTAGGGTTCTTTTAATCCAAACATCTCCAGAAGTGAATTCGTGTGAGTATATGTATATGTGTGTGTGGTTCTGTAAAATAACAGAAATTACAATTAGCAAACAATTAAAGTCAACCAAACTGGTCTAAATAATACAGAAAGGGTTGAACAGAAATGACTAAACGCCACCCCCTGGTGGACACAAATGGGCTGCTGCACAGGGATAGACTCCATCTTTACTTTGGGCAGCTCAGTTCACAAGGGTAGCGCCATTTTGGTC